CAGCAGGGCAGACTTGAAGAGGTGGTTTCACCTGCAAGGACTAAGCTCTCTGTCTGACTTTTGCAGAGAAGAACACCACGTGCTTGAGACCTCCTCACACTGATACCCATGACTGCAACTGGAGGGGAAGTGTTGAGAGCACTAAAAGACAGGTACTGCTACCCTTGCAAGAAACTAAGAACAGTCTGTCCCAAACGAAGTTGAGGCCTCAGAGTACTTTTGCCATTTATTTGCTAATTAGAAGCTGGGCAACATAGCTGTTTTGTATTCCTGTCTCTTCAGTTTTACGACAGCACTCTACGTGCCATGTTGACTCAACACAAGCAATTGGTACTGCAGAAATTGAAACAAATATGCACAAGGAAGCACAAAAAATCTGGTTACAAGCAAAGGTGTTGTCCACTTCCATGGTGAAAACCAAGTTACAACATATTTGGAAGGGAAAATCTGCTCCAAATAATGTATTATGTATTAGGCTGATCCAGTTCATATTTACAACAATAGCATGACATACAAGACATGATAAAGAACAAGAATAAATGGAGAAGATTGCCACATACAAGCTGTTTGCACAGCATATTGATGAGAATCACTGATTGCAAACAACATAATGCTTCCCTGTTCCATAATCTCAGCTCCATTCACCCTCAGTATTTCAAAATAGTAACATTTTATACTCAGAATAACTGAATTCAGTTATTTTTTTCTGAGAAATCAAAATCTTAAATTCGATTTTTTTGACTATTTAATTTCACTAGGTAGGAGTCTAATTTCAAAATCTGGATGACAATTATTTCAGTACCTTGGCTTCCAAAAGACAATTGCTGTATTTTGCAATTCTATGTTGTCTTCAGAAGCTCAAGTGCCCTACACCTTTTCACTTTATCTGACTTCTGCACACCCTAGAACTGCAAGGCAGAATAACTCCCATGGTTTCTGACCTCTTTCCAAGCTCCTGATCCTCTTGCAGATGGGCAATCTCGTATATTTTTCACTCTCCAAAATTAACACTGAACACCCACTGGATGCCAGTGCTCAATGTTAGTACCTTGTAACTGATGATACTTGGAGACAAAAACATAAACAAGCCAGAAGGGACGGCCCGGGATCCATCACTCACTGACCTGAAGGTGATATACTAGCTTAAGGAATGGAAAACTACCACTACAGGGTAACTCCTCCTTCCAATTCCTCCTTATTTCCACACCCTCAAGACAGTTTGTGCCAAGAACCAACATGAAACCTACGATGAACTACCCAGAAAACCTGTACAACAGCACAGTGTTTGATCCAATGACGAGAGGGTGTAAGCAGTATCAAAGAGTAAATATAAGGAAGTCCAAGCAAGGAGAACCTGTGTGATGAAAGATTTAAAAATAACTGAGCAGAACATGAGATAAAGTACCTATTGCTTCTTTCACATATAAATCAGTACTTTTTTACTTCCTCAGTGCAATTACTCTCACTACATTTACTCCATGACAGACTGCAACACTTCCACAGGCAAATACAGTTCTTCATCTGAAAAACTGCAGTATAATATGCATTGATCATTGCCTTACAGCACCGTCTTCAAATGTCGTCTCTCACTCAGCAACTCTATTTCCTTCAAGGAAATTGGATGGACGTTCCAAAAAAGGGAGTAATTTTAAAAAAGGTACTGAACACTGATGACCCAAAGGAAGCCCATCTTCATCAGTGATTTAAAAACTAGTGAATTCAAAACCTGTCAGTATTGGTAATACAGCCCCTAACAAGCTGAACTGCATGATGTCCGGGCTTCCCAACAGGGAATAGGGGAACCTTTCATCTCCCTCAACTGTACGCCTTCTGTGGTATCTAACTTCAAACACACTAATCCACCATCCAGTTTACTGTCTGACTTCTATTAGAGATACCACTCTGAGGGCAGCACTTGATTGATAAAAATAAAAGGGCAAGAAAAATTTGAGGTTGACATAGCACTTAGGGATATGGTGTAGTGAGAACAGTCAGTGTTAGGTTAATGGTTGGACTAGGTGATCTTCGAGGTCTTCCGACCTAGATGACTCTGTAAAGAAAAGAATTTTGTTTTCTCCATCACTGACACAGTACAAACGTAGCATATCAGTGTACACCTGGAACAGTTTGTGCTATTACTATGACAGCATAAACTGCTGAAAGCACAAAGTTTGAGCAATATAAAGCATCTTTAACATGGACTTCTTACTTTTCTTCTTCATGAGTGTGTTTCTTCCTTTCATAGTCTCCCATCTTTCATCTTAATTTACTGCAGGCTTTAAAAGGCACAAATTAATGGCAGTAAAGTTGATGAAAATATAACACAAAGCACATCTTATCCTAAAGAAATACAGTACCTCACATAAAAACTGTCAAAGGAGCTTCATGAGTGTGATGACATAACAAAGAAGATACCAAAGTAGGTAACACCCTCCTGCTAACTTTATTTCAGCTTTACAGCAAGAAAAGGCCACAGTGGAATGAAAGAGAAGCGAGGTGACCTAAACTTATCAGAAACCTACAGTAATGGTAGAAGATAAGAAAAAGCCACCAACAAAATTTAAGGAAACAGATACGGGTGGAGCACATTTTCCTTTTGATAACTGCTGCACGTGCACAGAGTGCAGAAACAACGAAACCTGTTGAATCACTCAGCAATGGCTGCATTCTAGTTGAGCACTGAAGATGCCCACAGAGACTAAGGAAGATTCATCCTCATCTTACTGCTCAAGATAATAAGAGAGACCACAAAAAATCATCTTGTTCTTCAAAATCTCATCTAGGTCAGTCATCATGTCAGATAAGTGATGTGATACCAAGACCATCTGATTAACTGAGGCCAAGCAGCACAGGCAGGACTTCTTAGTACAATTCCATGGTTTGGTAGGGGATACTCGGATGGGAAGTGAAATCCAAAATTCAATGTACACATCTCTTGTGCTGTCTGCATAGATTTCTGCAGCATTTTCAAAGTGGGCATGCCCCACATTTGGGGACATGCTGCCTTACAGCTCCTTTTCCAACTCTGGAACAAAAGTGAGCACAGTGAACAACCAATTCAACCGTAATTGGTGACTTTCATTTATTCCTCAGGACAGCACGAACACTGTTACCTGCCTGAATCTAATGACAGTCCTGCTTCATAGAGGCAGGGGAGTGAAGAGGTAAAGATGAGACACAGCTGCTCCTTCAGAGTAGTAAGCAGAGAGGAAATGAAGGAACAGAAATGACAGTGAAGCAAGAATAAGGAATTAACAGGACAACCAAAACTGGAACCACAGTATGGGACAGAATGACTTATAAAAAGGAAAACTCATCATTGACAGTACATATCAACTACACACTAGACCCAGATAGCAGCAGTAAAGACAAGAAAAACTTAATACACAACTGCAACAAATGCTCCTAAATCCTGAACCCCACTTTTATTTTTAAATGCTTGGCTCTCACGTTAGTCATTGGAGTGGGGCCCTCTCTCTTCATGGACAGATTTCTGAAACAGTCTGCCTGCCAGACTTCTTTCAGCTTGATGAAGCACCACACCATGCTGTTTAAATCATCCATAGCTAACGGAAGGCTATAGATATGGAGAGTCTAGCGAAACCCAAACCCAAACAACTGCAGCTGAAACTATGCCTTGTACTTTAATCCTGCACAGAAAGGAAAGTCTCCGAACCCCAGTCAGGGTGTAACCACAACCACAGCTGTGCCATTACATTAAGGCTGACATGCAGTACTGACTTCTCTTCTAAAATTCACATTTGTAAAATATGTAAAAGCTACTGATGAGTAAACCATGAGGCAGGGCACCCTTCTCTGCCCTGACCTCAGGGTTCAAGTCAGCTTTATTACAGAATATAAACACTAAGAATCACTAAAGGACAAAGTGGATTTCCTCTCATTTATTTCAGAGTGCCTGGCCAATTACCACCTTATCGATACACTGTAGATTACTAGAAGTATAGACAAACATCAACAAGAAGGAAGTGTAGTAAATTGCATGCAAGTAGCACAGTGCCAAGCATTATTCTACTTTGCCAGCTGGCCATTTCAGAAGGCAGATAACATCTCCTATGGTCAAATTGATGCCTTCTTTTTTCCAAAACTCTACCAAATGTGTAATGTGACTCTATTTGGCTTGGACAGCAAGGCGCAGAGAAAAAGAGTTTTTCTTAAAACAATCTATTAACACTTCACAGTGACAGCCCCCTTTCTCCACAGCGTGTCATAAAACGTACCACAGCACTTATCGTGCAACTAAACAGTAGTATCCTCCCTGATCTTATTTTTTAAAAATTCTCAGAAAACAACAAACTTTTCTTTTTTCAAGCACTTCCAGATTAAAGAGGGGATGCCCCATCCACCACTTAATGGGAACATGATGCTTCTACAACCAGTAGCAAGAAGTACCACACATTAGGACATGACAAAGACACAGTTACAGGCTTCCACAGCAAATCCTCAGCAGCAGAATGGATTTAAATATCCTGGGAGGGTGAGTCAGGAGCTGCAGATCCAAGTATAAAACTCTCTCTTAATCCAGACGGTGAGATTATGTTTTGGATGGAGAGAGCCAGTGCTTTGAATTCTCTCTCTCCTGTCACCCCCCACCCCTGCCATATGCTGCCACTTCTTTTCTTTACTATCAGAAGTGGCTAGGGTTTCTCTTCCCACCCCCAAGTGCTTCATTCTCTCCCTGGCGGGCAGTCAATTCCTCGGGCTGTGTGCATTAACACCCTGCAGCCCATAAAGTACTCACTCCAAGCTCTCGTTGCTGCTGCCAGTCGCAGAGCTGCTGTGCTGGTTGCCCTGGCCCAAAACCTGGACCCCTAAGGACCTGACAGCCCGCATTAGAATCGCGTCCATCGCTTCAACTGAAAGCTTCTCCAGGACAATCACCCGGCATCGGCTCAGAAGAGCGGCGTTGACTTGGAAGGAAGGGTTTTCTGTGGTTGCTCCTATAAGGGTCACTGTCCCGCACTCGACGTGAGGAAGGAAAGTGTCCTGAGGATGGGAGGGAAGCAGAAAAAGCTGATCTCGATCAATGACAACCTGAAACATCCCATGTGAGTAGGCTACATTTTTTGCATCTTGTGAATCTTTGGGTTCCCTGTTGATATGACAAATAACCTCACTGACAAGGCAGCTCATCTGCTCAGCTATCTAAATGATTTAATTTCATGCACACAGCACATTACAGGCTATTCACCTTAGTAACTCATGCTTGCACCGAGAATGACACTACCAGCTGAAAAGAAACAGTGTCAAAAATCTGCAAATTTTCAGTTTCTTTATGTGACTTTGCTTTATGTGATAAGGTGATTTCATGGTATCTTATGTTTGCCAAGCAACAAGCCATATAGTAAGGCTACTTTTAAACGATCTTTCAACATTTAGGACTACCATTCCCCACATAATTCTATAAGATAGTTCAGAAAATTATAGGAAGATTGCAGTATGACTCAATATAAAAACTGTAACATTTAGTACAGAATTCAAAGCTTTCTATAATATGACTAAAGGAAACTTATATCCAGGAGAGGAAAAAGGAAGAAGAAACCAAGTGATGGCTGCAACAGCGCGTTATCTCAAAGTACCATGCCATGCTTTATTTTTCACTTTTCTCACGGAGAAAAGGGGACAACATTAAAACACACACCCACCCTTGGCACATTCCTATTCCAGACCTTTATAAAGGTAATGCAGAATGCTGAAATGAAGATGTGTGTGCAGCAAACATTCCTGCAGGAACAGTCAGCTATAAGTATAGCTCAGTCTTTTATTTAAATCTTTGAATCACAATAATTAAAAATTGATTGGAAGTTAGTTATGGGATTTTTATGCTTCTCCCTAATTCATCTAATAAAAACAATAACATTAAAATCAAAAGCCCAAAGTAAGCTATCATCTTAAAGAGCGAAATTTTACAGAAGTGCTGGCAAAGGCTTTTTTTAAGAAGCAGTATAGTACAATACCTGCTGAGATTTATTGAAACGATGGATCTCATCAATAAAAAGGATGGTTTTTCTCTTGAAGAGTCTTTTTTCATTCTGGGCTTGGCTGATGACATCTCGAACATCATTTGTCTTGGCACTTGTGGCTGACAGTGTCACAAACCTCGTGCCATTCTTTTTGCTGCTGTTGGCTATTATATGTGCCAGTGTAGTCTGAAACAGCAATAGGAGAAAGCCCTGTAAAAATCATTCAGGACACAGAAAGTACTCATTTGAATGAAATATGTAAAGAAAAAAGCTATATATTTTGGACATAGGGACAGTGCTGACAGTTTATACAGTAAGGTATTTTAGTTCATGCTATTCTAGCACACAGAAGACTTAAAAACTTCCTGCTAGAGGTAGTTGCCAATTCCACTTCTGCATTTCTAATGCCTGCACTTTTACGTACCAGACCTATTCAGTCTCAATACTGAAAAGGCCAGCAATGACAGCTGTCTCCTTTACCACGGAAGAACTCTTTGCCAAATACATTTCTGTCACAGAAGGCAGGCTGAATGCAATTCACTGTGCAGCTACTTTGTAGAGTATGTTAATAGATAAGGAGCTGCAGTATCCCAAGACACCTGCAGAAGAGTAACAGTGCAAGCACAATTAAGAAATAGAAAACTACAATGCTGTTAATGCCTTTACTATTTCCGCTGCACATAAAAATGACATTAATGACAGCCACTCTCTACAAAAGGATGAGAATGTTAGTACTGAAAAAAATGTATGTATGCTTAAGAAAATTTAACTCTTTAAATCTAAACAGTCAACAGTAAACAAATTGTGGCCCCATTAAGTAAAAGGCAGCTTACTGAACAAACTGTTGGCTGGTTTTAGTGAGCAGCTATGTTGTTTTTCTTTCTTTATAGACAACTCCTTAAAATCAGAATATATTTATAAGGAATCTCACTGAGCCTACCAAAGCAAACTCCAGCACTACCTCCCAGCCAGATACTACACCTGAACACATCACAGGCATAATTTTCAGACCTTCCTTCACAACCCCTGGTAAAGACAGGTGTAATCTGCATGTCTCAGGCAGAGTTACATCTACTTGAAAGTATTGCTAAACAGGTGATTCTTCCATCGAGCTCACTCTTCTATTAAAGGAGCCTAAGGAGACTGAAGGCAGGACAGCCTCAGCACATGAGGAGTGGGACAGGTGCAGACAAAACCACTTCAGAAGATATTCCAAGTACTGAGGTTAAAGCAGCTGGTGCTGCCAACTTGATCCTCTTGCAGGGAGGCTGATCCTGTTGCAGGGAGAAGTAACCACCTACCATACGGCTACTAGTGGTATTGCAGCAGTGGTCTGTCTCTTTAATGAATGTCCTCGTTCCTGAAATGGCAACCAGCCCAAGATGGGAAAGGAGAGGCTAAGGGGGAGGATGTATCACTATTTATCCTTGCTTTAGTTTTAGTAAGGGCTTCCCGATTGTCCTCAGAAGAGGTGTCATTTCACATCCTGATACAAGACTCGCATCTCATGTCAGATCCTCTCTCACCTCCTGGAGCTCAAAGCACCATCCCTCCCCTCCCTGTACTGCTGCAGAAGACAAGACAGGAAAGACATGCTGGAAAGTGCTTGCAGCAAAGCCTACATAAATCAGGAAGATCTGAGAAAATAAAAAACAAAAGTGAAACTACTGTTGAAACTAAGCTAACAAAATAAAACCAAAGGTGGTGTTTCCTTACAAAAGTACCTTGGTCTGAGGATGAAAAAGGAAAGATTTATCTCTTCTCTAAAAGTGGCAATGGTGAGAAGGGGAAAAAAAGATTTTTTTAAAAAAATCAAGTGACTATTCTTGTAGCTTCACTTAAACTTGTAGCTCATACAGGTCACAGTTAGTTTTGTTGTTTAAAAAAAAAAAGCAGTAAGGAAATTTTTTTCAAATGCACAGGAGTCCATATTTCTACCCCTAGCTTAAGAAAAAAATTACAAAAATATTTGTTTGAAAGTTACTATTGGACCAAGAATCTACTCTAAAACTGCTGCACAGCTCTCAGCCAGCATATACCACTCCAGCTCTGCCAATTTCTGGGTCAGCTAAGGTTGTAATAAGAATAACATACATTGCCTTTCAAAAGCAGTGCTTGACATGGACAGGCATACTCATGGCCTCTTCATTCTGTTCTGCACAATCAATCATTCAGCAAGTCAAACTGCCCACCACATAGAGGTCAAACTTTCCCTATTTCTCTGAAAGCCTATTATTTCCCATTAGCTCATTTTTTAATGCTGCTTTCTCTCCTACCACCTCAAGCAAAAGTCAGTAACATGCTACACTGTTTTCTCCCTCTTTGTTACCATAGGTTACAACCTAGAGAACATGTAATCAGTTGAGACTTAAGCAGGGTAGCCTAAATACAAAGGCACTACCACAGAAGAACTGCAACTAGTATGCTAACCCCCTAGTTTCTCACTAAATTCGGGGGCAATGTATTTGAGGGATAAGAAGAAAACCAAAAATCCAATATGGAATAAGGCAGAAGAAAACATACTAAATATCCTTCATCATCTGAAATAAATTTTGAAGTAGGTTTGATTATTACATTAGAAATAAAGTCTTTTAAAACAGTGACACTGATGTTGCAATTTAAAATGAATACATGTCTCTCAGAATGAGCATAATAAGCAGGAAGAGGAAATCTAAACAGGTTGATATTCTGCCCTTTTATTACACAGGTGCTGTTTCTTTAGATCATGTTTCTTTTTCTTATGGAGAGGAACAGAAGTTTTGTTTCCTGTAAATTAAGTGGCATTTATAACAATGAGAATAGGAGTGATCCTGCAAACTAATCTGCTAACTTCACTTAAAATTCCACCTTACACAGCTCACAATGTAATATCCTTGCCCCTTTCAGAAATTGTTCTCAGTTCTCTTCCATTATCCCACCAAACTTTCTAAACTCACAACTATCATCTCAAGTTTTATGCTGAAAATGGCAAGACCTTACTGATTTATCTGTTTAGACAGGCTAAAGAAGTGCCATCATAAGGAGCCATTCCAAAACATGGAAACATATCCACCAAGAAACTCATGAACCATTACTTACCAATGAGTAACACTTCCAACTTGAGTTTGTGGTCACTTATTTCCAGATCCATTACACACAGAACAAACGCTTAACTACTGAAACTCTCCTCCATCATCCTGCAAATTTCTTCATGTCAGCCCAAATGAGAATATCCTTTCCAAAAAGGCTGCAACCATCCCAGATTTACAAAAACCCAACAAACAAAAAAGAGCCAAACAAGCTCACTCCCAGCAACTATACTACTAGTTCTTCCAGGCTTTGATATGAGTTATGGATGAAATAAAAGTAACCCAGAAAGTGTGCTTGGCTTCACACACCTCTGACTATCAGAGCAGATAAGGTAATCAGATTTGCTGATTTGGATGTTTGCACCAGAATACACGAATTTTCTGTATATCCCCAAGTTTCCTTGACTGGGCAACTCTCTTTGTAAGAGATAACCCATTTCCCTATTCTCTGTGCTGCCACTATTCAATGCAACCTCACACCCATGGCTAGAAGAAAACAGTAAAAATCAAGTACAAATTAAGCCCATCCTATTGATGCCAATGTTCAGTGACTAACATTACCCACTTAGAAGTAAGGTGGTCTTTTCGTTTTTGCATCTCTTTATCAGGCCACTAAACTATGCCCACTGCCATTAGCTCACCAAGGCCCCTTCCAGGAGTCAAGACCGGTACTGCCTATAACTCTCTTCAGAAAGTGGAATTGAAAAAAATTGGGAAGAGGTTAGCATATATGGTCAGATCATAGTCAAAAAGTCTCCAGCCAAGAAGTTGACTGTGAAACCTAAGGTCATTCTTACCCCACTCTTGTGGAAGATCAGATAGACCTTGTTTAGGGATCTGCCTGTTCATGGCCACTTTATTTATTCTTAAATTGCATACATTTAGCAAAACAGCTGTTGTAGATGTTGGTCACAGAAAACAAGTGGTCTCTCATGTTACATCTACACTGCATTCAGCAATCATACAGAGAGCTCCTGCAAGGTGTGCAGAACAGCTCACAGTCATTCAGTTGCAGAC